ATCCCATATGGGTGCCAGTTCGAGTCCCAGTTGCTCCTCTTCTGATCCAGCTCTCTGCTATGGCCTGGGAAAGCAATAGAAGATGGCCCAAGTGCTTGGGTCCCTGCACCCACGTGGGAGACCTGGAAGAAGCTCCTGGCTTCAGCCTGGCGCAGCTCCAGCTGTTGCGGCCATCTGGGGAGTAAACCAGCAGATGGAAGACCTCTCTCTGTCTCTGCCTCTGCCTCTCTGAAACTCTTCCTTTCAAATAATTAGATAGATATTTTTTAAAAAGAGGAGAATGGTAGCAGACTTTGCTTATGGCAATAAAGAGGAGAATGGCAGTGGACCTGTGGCCTAGCTTTAAGACACCCTGCCATATCAGAGAGCCTGAGTCAAGTCCTGGCTCAGCTTCAGATTCCAGCTTCCTGCTAATGCACACCCTGGGAAGCAGTGGTTATGGCTCAAGTACTTGGGTCCCTGCACCCATGTGGGAGACCCAAATGGTGTTTCTAGCTCCTGGCTTCAGCCTGGCCCAGCCCTGGATATTAGGGGCACTTGGGTATCTCTCTGTTTTTTCTTCTCTTTCTGTCCCTCTTCTGCCTCTCAAATAAGAAAAATAAAAACAAAAACAGTGAGCATGCCCAGAAAGCAGGCTGGGCAGCGCAGGCTGCCGCAGCTGCAACTGTGTGAACTCCCCAGTGCCCTGTGGGCTGGGGCCTGCACAGCGGTGCTGGCCTTTTATGAACTGCATCCATCACCCTCGCAAGCCCATGCAAATTGCAAAATCACATTTTCCAATTGAGTTAATGAAGCCAGATGAGTACTGTCCTTCGCAGAGAGTGAGCTGCCACATTGTTTGTGGAAGACAGGAGCTGGTGGATGGCTATCCCAGGTCAGGACGGCAACTCCTCCTGGGAGGCCTGCAGCCCAGTCCTCTGTGACCCAGCTGCAAGACACCTGCACACCATTTCAGAGAGCCTGGGTTCAAGTCCCAGCTCTGCTTCAGATCCCAGCTTCCTGCTAATGTGCACCCTGGGGGGCAGCAGAGATGGCTCATGTTCTTGGGTCCCTGTCACCTATGGGAGAGATCGAGATGGAGTTCCCGGCTCCTGGCTTCTATGTGGCACAACCCTGGATGTTGGGGACGCTGGGATTTGTGGATCTGTTTCTCTCTTTCTGTCTCCCAGCCCCACGTTCCGCTGCCCTCCAGAAGAGAAAGACGTTAACAGAATGTGTTGCTCAGGAAGTGGCATCCACAATGAGCATCGCATGAGAATCTCTGCACTCCAGCCGTTAGCCCCAGGAGTCTGCAAGGAGGGGCGACCCCACGCACGTGGGTTTCTTGCAGAAGCAGTGGGGTCTCTGCCTTCGGATCCACATGCTCCTCGTGGCTGGGCGTCACATGGCACATTCTGACGGCAAAATTGACCCACCCTGCTTCTCAAAGGCTCAGATGCTGGTGGAAAGAAAGGCGTGGATCAAGACCGAAGGCCTGTGGCACACGAGGGTCTTGGAACCAGCCCCTAACGAGCTGCAAACACAAGGACGCATGGCAGAGGGCTGCAGCCTCCTGAAGTGACACCTGGACCCCAGCCTCAGCACCTTCCTTGCGCCTCCCCACAGTGTGCAAACAGGACACAGAGCCCCGCCAAGAGAGCCCCCTCATGCCTACAAATTCACTCTGGCTACAAACAGGGCCTGAAGCTAAGCTCTTTCCCAGGCCAGATTCAGCAGACGCCCCGGTTCTGTGCCTTAAATTAACTGTCTACCTGGTTCTGTGCACTTAACCAACAATCTCTGTAAGAATGTGGGACACCATGCAGGTTGCACACACCCGGCGTTTTGCAGGCACTCGAGCTGCACACATGGACAGGGTGGGCGGCAGGTCCCACCCTGAAGTGGGAGACAAGGGCCCTGTCTCCATCCTCCCCTGGAGGGTCTGCAGCAGTCTCCACCGGGATGGCCATGGTGCAATGGCAGAAGTAGGAGCTGCGCCAACGGAATGCGTGAGATTCCGCACATTTGGAGGTTCTGTTGCACTGAGGAGCATGGCGCTGATTTCCCATCCCTAAGATGCCGCAATTTTTGAAAAAGCACCCTCAGCATGATTAGAAGCAAAGGAAGAGACCAAATCCTGAGGTACTACTGATCCGGCCGGACTCCTCGGCGTGATGCAGTCCCACCACACGTGCTTAGTAAAGGACTTGCTTTAAACACAGACTTGTGAAAAACAGCAGGGTGAGACGCCAGAAACACCACAGGCCTCCCGAAAGCCCCCATGATGCCGACCTCGTGGACCAGAACTCAGTGGGCTACGGTCTGGGCACAGCTCTCCATGCCCCTCTAGAGGGTGGAAGCTAAAAGGGCCTCCCCAGGTTGGTAGCAGGGCTGGGGGTGGTACTTGGCGGACAAAGCCCAGGCCACGGCTGCACGCAAAGGCCCAACAACCATGGGAAAGCTCAGGCTCCCAGCAAGGGCAAGGAGGAGACTGGAAGGGATTCTCCTCGTTGGACGAGCAGCAGGCTGTGCCTCTGGGCTGGCGCTGCCTCCACCCTTGCTGCCACGGTCCACACGTGGTGCCCTGAGTATCGGACCACCTCACCACCCTCCTGGTACTCCCTCTGCTCACACCAGGCCAGCCCTGGCCGCTGCCTGGATGCTGTTTCCTGGGAGGTGTGCAGGCCTGCACCTCCTCTGTGCTGGCCCAGGTGTCCTTTTCTGTCTAGGCCATCCTGCACAGTGTCACCCAGCAGCCCTGTCCTGGGTCACTCCAGTGTTGTCACAGTGCACACCACGCTGCCTGTGCTCATCGCTGCTGTTTGCAGCCACATCGCTAGTGCCCAGATCTGTACAGGTGGATGGTGGACGGAATCCAAATGGCACAGCCTGCACCCAGGGCAGCAGGGAGACACGAGGGCACCAGCATGAAGGCAGACAGCCTGGCCCCAGCATGCAGTGCCTCTGAGAGGTTTACATCCGGGACTCAGCTCCCCACGGATGGCCCTCAAAGCCCGGGACAGACTCATGTCACGGTGTTTACTGAGGTGTTACTTGTAACAGTCAGAAATGAAATGGTTAGGATAAAAAGTAACACAGTTGGGTCAGGCATGTGGCATAGCAGGTAAAGCTATCACCTGCAGTGCCGGCATCCATATGGGTACCAGGTCAAGTCCCAGCTGCTCCACTTCCCTTTCAGCTCCCTGCTATGGCCTGGGAAAGCAGCGGTGCTGTCCCAAGTCCTTGGGCCCCTGCTACCCATGTGGGAGACCCACATGAAGCTCCTGGCTCCTGGCTTTGGCCTGGCCCAGCCCTGGCCACTGCAGCCATCCGGGGAGTGAACTAGCAGATGAAAGATTTCTCTGTCTCTCCCTCTGTTTAACTCTGCCTTTCAAATAAATAAGTAAATCTGAAAAAAAAAAAAAAAAAAAAAGTAACACTCATCCTGTGGTGTCCAAGGGTAACTGGGTCAGGTTTCCAACCCCCACCACAGTAGATTTCCAAGTCCATGGAGGTTCAAGGCCTTTCCATGAAACAGCACATAGGACCCACGCAATCCTCCCATCCGCTTTAGGTCACCCCCGGATCACGCGTGACACTTCCCACCATGCAGCCGCCGTGGATGTCGCTTGCTAACTGGAAAGGGAGTAATGGAAAGGAACAGCCATGTGTCTTCAGCGCAGGCGCACTCTGTTCTCTGGGTATTTCTGATCTGTGGCTGGTGGAACGCATGGGTGTGGCATGGCTGAGGAATCGTGGCTATGAGGGTCAGTTGGCGGTGCTAATAGCCACACAGAGCAGCTACCAAGTGCTGACGGGGAGGTACAAGGCTTCCATGTGCTGTGAACTCGCTGCTTCTGACTGATGGCGAGGACCCTGAGTCAATGCCCAAGGCAGCACCCACTCGTGTGTATCACCGACGGAGGTGCTGACGTGGTGAGGCTGAGCAATGCCAGCATTCTGCTTCCTGGGGAGGGTGGCAGGGTGCCCACGCTGCAACTGGGCCAGTGTCCCCTCGGCCTCTGCACTTCCATGTGTGCAGCCGGCGGAGCAGACATGGTCCTGCGCCGCACCCACGCCCTCCCTCTGTCCCTGCACTGCCAGGCTCCACGGCTTCCTCCTGGATTCCCGAGCTATTCTCTGCGCAGTCTCACTCATTTCCTGTCCAGGGAGCTGTGGCCCCATCTCAGGCCAGCAGCGGGAGTGAGAGCCAGCAGCCCCACAGCCTGTTTCTCCTCATTGTCTTGGGGGGAGGAGGGTCGGGGTTGATCTGCCCCCGCTTGCCCGAGGGCCACTGTCGGAGAACTGGAAAACCGAGGCCCTGGCAGGAGGAGGCCAGCTGGCCCCACGGCAGCCCTGGGCGGGGCTGGCCTCCTCCCCTTCCTCTGGCCTCCATCTGCTCAGGCTCTGGACGCACTTTCAAAAGCCTCTGCCTCTACCCCTTACTCTCCATGGGCTCGTCTGCAGCGGTGCCATGGCTGTGTTTTCTTCCTCTACGCGTCGGATTGCTCTAATTTAAACCTGATGCTGATCAGCAGTTTGTCAAACTTCTGCCAGCCAGATGCACGCGACCTACACTTTTTCCTGTGTGTGCACGTGTGCACACGCACATGTACGTGCACGCATGTGTACGTCTATTTGCATGTGAGTACATGTCTACGTGCATGTGTGAGCATTATGTGTGCAAGCATGCATGTGCGTGTGCACAGGTGTGTGCATGCGTGTGTGCGAGCACACGCACTGAGAGGAAAATTCCTTTCACGTGGCCTCCTGTCCCCAGAAACCTGACCATGTCTTTGTCTTGGCAGCTGTCCCAGCAACACCACCACATGCCCTTTCCTGCAGCCGACTCGTGCAGTGTTTTGAAAAGAGCCCTGGGCTCTGGCAGTGCTGACTCTCACCACAGCCACAGGAAACAGGGTCCAGCTAGGGAAGACCCCAACTGCGCCCCAGGGAGGACTCACCTGAAGCTAGACATGACCATCCCCCCTGGGGCCCCCTCCCTCCCACATCTCTCTCACCGCAAGCAGTAGAAGTGGTGGACACTTCCTCCATCGCTGGCCTCCAAGGCCGACTCCCAGGAGACTTCCAGGGGCTGGGGGTGGGGACATCATGCTGAGTTAGTTCCACAAGCACTCCTGGCGGATGGCAGCCACAGGCAGCACCCCACTGCTTAACCTCTCACTGCAACACCAATACTGCCTGAGCCCAACAGCATTTTTAACACAGGGAAGTACTCTAAGGCACCCCGCTTCCCAGTAGGTTGGTCCCTCCCCACTGGGTTTGTCCCTCGACCTCTCTCTCGGGACACCAGACTTCCTGTGGGGGTGGCCAGGACCTGGCTCTCCAGGCAGGGCGTGTCCTTGGAGCCAAGGCCACAGCAGGCTTGGGTCTGCTGTGTCCAGCCCCAATCTGTCATTGGCAATACCAGTATTCAAAGGAACTGTCTGGAAGATCAAATGCGAACCTCAATGTGGATTTAATTTCAAGTAGTGAGACTCAAACATGAATTTCCTCCCTGGGTTTTCCTTTTCTCTTTGTGTTTCACAAAGCAGGATGGAGGGGCAGGGCCCGGCCCTGGAGGAGGCCTCCTTGCAGTGCTGTTGCTACTGGCAGGCGACTCTCCCTGGCCTCGTGCGCTCGGCTGTGTTCTCAGGATCGCGTGTGCTGCACACATCACCCTGCCTTCTTCTTTAGAAACTGGTTGGGATCACAGACAAAAGGCCATGTGTTTCAAAGGAGGAAACACAGAGGAGTGGAAATCGCTGCTCTGTCCTGATTGGAGACAGTGACAGTCGGGTGAGCTTTTGAGGCCTCGTGCTGGGCTTTATTTCTGCTCTGTGCTGGAGCAGGCCCTTCTCCAAGGAATGCCATTGGTTACTCTAAGTCCAGGAGGCTGTGCATAGTGGGTGCTCCTAGGGCAGATGACAGGTGCCCAGGCCCCATGATGGCCATGCTGGAGCAGCCAGCTCACTGGGCAGGAAACAAGCTGATGGAGCAATTTCTAGGGCCCCCAAGCCAAAAGCGGTGAACGTGGCCTCCTCCGTGTGGGGGAGGGAGCAGCTGGGAGGCCTGGGATCAAATCCATCTCTGCCTCTGGTTGCCTGCAGGTCACGAAGCAGATCTTTTGTTTTAAACATTTACTTATTTATTTCAAAGTCAGAGTCACAGAGAGAGGAAAGACACAGATTGGGAGAGAGAGATCTTCCACTTGCTGCTTTACTCCCCAAATGACTACAATATCCAGGGCTGGGCCAACCAGAAGCCAGGAGCCAGGAGATTCATCCTGGTCTCCCACATGGGTGGCAGGGGCCCAAGCACTTGGGCCATCTTCTGCTGCTTTCTCAGGCACAGTAGCAGGGAGCTGGATCAGAAGTGACTGGGACTGTAAGCGGGCTCATATAGGGTGGCAGCTTCACCTGCTGTGCCACGTGGCCAGCCCTTGGAGCACATCTTTAAGGACCCCCGGCTCGGCTTCCTTGTAGGTGGAGCAGCCCAGGGGGTCTTCCCTTCTGCTGTCAGCAGGGCCAGGTCTGATGTCTCCTGTGCAGCACAGGCCTTAGCTGTGTGTGTTGGGGGGGAGGACCCAGAGCTAGTCCTCTGTGTGAGTTCACCAGTTCTGTCCTCAGGGGATACCCTCATGCTGTCCCCCAGGACCGTCCCACAAGAGAGCAGGGGAAAAGGAAGGAGAACCCGCAAGCCTGGGCCACTTGGAGAGCCCGGCGCCCCTGTCTAACTTCAGAGGAAACCGTCTATTTCCTGCAGAGTTTCCTACACTATCCAGAATTGTGGGGGCCCCGGCGGGAGACTCTGACCCAGCTCCAACTCTGAGCACAGGAGAAGGCCAGCAGGCAGGGCGTCTGGCGCAGGGAGAGGAAGAGGTGCATGTGGCTTACGTAGTCTGGAGTGTGGCCAATCTGACGGCAAAGGAGAAGCTCCATGACTGCCACGAAGCATCTCTCCAGCCTGACGCCCTTGGCCCAGCACACGCGGCCGAGAGGCCCCATCCACAACCAGCCCCAGACACGCCTGGGGGTTCCGAATGGCAGGGTCCTCCAATTTTAAAAGAAAGCATGCTCTCCTGTAGCTGACTTTTTGTTTTTCTTGCTTCCGAATGCCCCTTGATAGATTCTACCTCGCAGGGAAATCAATACAAACTTTAATCACAGAATTAAATAAAGTCCAAAACTGCCAACATTACATGGCAACACTCACCGAAGCCACTTGAACCTGGAGTTTCCTGGTTCTCCTTGACCAGCCCTGTAATCTGTAGGAAAATCAATATCATCTTTAGAGTAATTTGGGTACCTCGTCATCACGGAAAACAAGCTCCCAGTGGAATTTACTACAAAGGAGTGCCTGCCCCCCAAGAGAGTGACAGGCCCTGGACGGCACAAAGAACACCAGGGGAGTGGCTCCATGTCATGTCACGCACAGCCGCCTGCCACGCTCCTGCCCACAGGCACAGGCCCCGAGAGCTCAGAGTCGACCACAACCAGAAAACCGGAAATGTCCCTGGAACACAAACAGCTCCCACTGTTGTGGGACCCAGAGGCATCTGGGAAGGAGGGGCCTGCGTCACACCAGAGATGGCTTCCTCGAGCCAATGCGCACTGCATTGGCACTGACCCCGACCAGTGCCCCTCTTCCCACCCCTGGGAGCCCGGGAGAAGGCCAGGCCCCTCGGTGCTCACATTCCCACGCCCCCCGCTCAGCAGCCGTGCGTATCCAGACTGTGCCTGCACGCAGCCTCCGTGAGCTCCGCTCTCCTGGAATTACGGGGCCGAGACCCTGTTCTCCTCGCCTAGGGCAGGTCTGCGTGGGGAGCCGCAGTGGTAGGAAGGCGCTTCTGGTGATGGCTGCAGCACCCTGAGCTGCCTGGGGGTTTCCTGGTATTTAACTCAGTCTCCCTAGATTTCCTGTGCTCCTGTCCTACGTCTTCACAGTGAGCTTTTCAGGTCGTGCAAGCACACCCTGGGAACAGAGAGCAGAGGCAGAAAATGGGCTCAGAGGTAGCCCAGCAGGAGCCAGCTGGATCAGGACTGGAGGAAGTGAGAGCAGAAGATTTTACAAGGACAAAGCCAACGGTGAACGGAGCCAAGGCCGGGGCTCAGAGCCTGCAGTTGCCGGCTGTGAAGCAACAGAGCAGCGTTTGGCACCCAGACCCCGCATCAGAGCTATTTCCGGGTGAGAGTTAAAGGCCAGCGAGGGCTGGGATACTCCCCGAAGCAGCAGCTGAGTGCGACAGCAAGGTGCTCTTGGGCTGCCCCTCCTGTGGCTGCGCAGAGACGGCTCAGGGCTCAGGTGGGGTGGGGTGGACTCAGGCTCTGGTTTTCTTCCCCCTTTGCCAGCAAGCGCCAAAGAGGGGAGAGGTCAATTAGCACTTATAGTACCTGAGGTCTTTTAATTTTTGTTCATTTATTTGAGAGGCATAGAAAGATGGAGAAAGAGAGATTTCCCATCCGGAGATTCCCTCCCCAGATGTCCTCAACAGCCCTATCTGGGCTAAGCTGAAGCCTGGAGTGGATAATCAACTCAGGCCTCCCATGTGGGTGCAGGGACCCAAGCACCCGGACCGGCACTGCTGCCTCCCAGGGTGTGCATGAGCAGGACGCTGCGCCCAGGCACTGTGCCGCGGGATGCAGGCACCCCAGAGGCATCTCAGCTGCTGGGCCAAATGCCCACAGACATCAGCACTTGTTTCTTTGTTCCTGTTTTGAGTGACTTCTCTGATTAAGCAAATAAGGGCCTCTTCAGGATAAGGTTCTGATAGCTGCCAGTTCTTGGAACAGTCTTCCTGGGCAACACCAGTTCTGGAATGTTCTTTATGAGCCATCAGCGCCAGCTCTTCCTCCCTCACATGCCCAGCGCTCATCTCCATCTCCAGCAGCCTGTGTAGTGTCCAGCTACCCCACCCCGCAGCCCGTGCTCCCGGCTCTAGCCAGGAATGACTGGCTGAATGATTAGCTGCCTCTGCATCTGAGCGTGAGCTGGCTGTGTTTTGTCTTCTGTTTGCACTCACATCTTGACCCACCACTGGTGCCCGGCCGATCATGGACGGATGGATTGAGTGCATGGCTGCCCCCTGGGGAACACTGTGAAGGGGCATCACAGGCATTTGGGAAGTGAACCAGCAGATGGAAGATCTGTCTCCCTCTTCCTTCTTGTCTGTCTCTGTGTCACTCTGCCTTTCAAGTAGATTAAATAATCAAGTAGATGAAATAAACGGGGCCAACGCTGTGGCGCAGAAGGTTAAAGCCCCAGACTGCAGTGCCGGCATCTCATATGGGCACCAGATCCAGTCCCAGCTGCTCCACTTCCAAGCCAGGTCTCTGCTACGGCCTGGGAAAGCAGTAAAAGATGGCCCAAGTCCTTGGGCCCCTGCACCCACATGGGAGACCCAGAGTAAGCTCCTGGCTTCAGATCAGCTCAGCTCTGACCATTGCAGTCATTTGGGGTGTGAAGCAGCATAATGGAAGACCTCTCTCTCTCTTTCTCTGGCTCTACCTCTCTCTGTAACTCTGTCTTTCAAATAAATCAAAAAACAAAATAAACATATTTAAAAAGATCACTTTGGCTAAAATTTATGTTCAGCTCAAAATCTATACTGACTTCAACAATTCTTCAATGAATCTATGGGTTAAGTTTAGTGCACTTGCTTTTCATTCCTCTCACTCTTTTTAATCTCATTTTGGTGGTGGTGGGGTGAGTGAGTTGAAAAATCCAGCAACTTTGGGAAAACCAACAAGGTTACTGACGCGAATACTGGGCTTCCTTCCTAGAGACCACGGGACGGCTGTTCTGGGGATGACTCCAGCTGTCACTTACCTCACCAGCAGTAAGATCCACTCGGGAATCAAAAGGCAGACGCTGTCCCCCCGGAGGGCCAGAGACAGCAGGTTATACGAGGGGACTTCACAAAGCTTATGGAAAACCAAGTTAAAAGGTAAGTTCATTCTGCTGTTAAAAACTGAAATCCATGTGAATGGCCCTCAGAAAGTTCATAAAGAATTCCTATTATAAAAAAAAAAAACTACTCTTGGATTTAAAAAATTTTTGCTACACTTTTTTTTGAGAAACAGAGACAGAGATAGAGATCTTCCGTCTGCTGGTTCACTCCTCACTCAAGTGCCCACAACAGCCAGGGCTGGGCCAGGCCAGGGCTAGGAGCCAGGAGCTCCATCCGGGTCTTGCAGGCGGCTGCTTGCACCATCAGCTGCTGCTTCCTAGAGTGAGCATTAGCAGGGAGCTGGGTCAGCAGAGCCAGGACTCAAATCGGCACTCCATCATCAGATGCAGGGCCACACATCACTCGGCAAAGCACCTACTCCCTCGGTGAATTCTGCTTGCACCTTTCAAGAATCCTCGTGGGGGTTCTGTGCTCTGTCTCCCGAGGCTCACGTCTCAGTGTTCTGTGTGCTCCCATCCACACACACTGGCACAGGCAGAGCTGACAGCTACAGCAGGTGCGTCCCACCTGACATTCCCACCCTCGCACCTCTGCACCGGGGGTCAGACACCAGCTCAGTTGAGGGTCAGTCATGAGCTGCCCAGCCCTTCCCACAGCCTTGAGTGGACACAGGAAGCAGAGTTCCGCTGAGGGACAGCGGGGGGCATTTCTCTCTGCTCCTCCAGGTTTGTCTGACACAGGGGATGAAGAGAGCAGGTGGCGAGATCCGTGGTGATGCAGCCGAGTCTGGCTGTGTTGTGTGCGTGGACTCAGACAACCTGGTGCTGTCTCTAAGCCCTGGTTTTACAGGCACCACCCAGGGGCTCAGCAAGGGCCTGGGGACTGTCGTGGAAGAGTCTGGTGCAGGATCCCACCCCACTCCCCACTGAACTGCAAGTTCTTCCGTGGAGAGGGCCGGGGCCCAGGACTGTTTCTGTTCTCCCTTGTGATGCCCAAGCTGCTGCAGGCCAGGCGGGTGGTTCTGCTGGCCCGAACCCTCAGTGCTGCTTCCAGGGACAGGAATTCTTACAGGTCCTGGCACTAGGGACTTCTGCAAGCATTTCTTCTACCCTCCGCAGATGTCCTGAGAGGGCCAGGTGCTCTCCAACCCTCTGCTACCCCTTGGCAAGCTGGTTCCTCTGGGCACCGTGTTGGGTCCTTCTGTGCTTCTCAGCTCAGGTGTCTCAAGACTTAAATGGTATCCCAGGGCCTGATCAGCAAGCTTGAAACTCCTTTCCCCATCCTTTGCGATGTGGGGCTGGGGTGTCACAGGACACCTGCACCCTGGTAGGTGGGAGCACTCTCATTAAGTCCTCACATGCGTCCAACCCAACTCTCCAAAGAGCCACAGACCTCAAAGCCAAGAGAAACCTCTCGGGGATAACACGGAGGCAGACGATGAAGATGTCCAAGGAGGGGTGGACGATGGAAAGTGTGTGCCGTGTGCTGGTGCCTGTCAGTCGTCCACACACGCCTGCCTCGGAGGATGCTGGACCTCAAAAGAGCACGGTCTTCCCCAGAGCCAATCCCCGGGTCGAGGAAGCCACAGTGGTGTGGGGACACAGGTTTGGCGCAGTTGCAGCTCTTTGCAGCTGCCTCCCCCCTTTCTTTCCCTGTAGGGCTGCAGCGCAGCAGCCGACACCATGACGCCGACGCCATGACGCCATGACGCCTGCTCTCTGTGGAGCACAGGGAGCCTAGGCTCCAAGGGCAGACAGACTGCTCAGCCCTGCTAGGAGCCGAGGGCCTCCACGCTCAGCACAGAGCTGCATGGGCCCCCCAGAGCTCAGAAGATCCTCAACAGAGCTACAGGCATTCCTGCGGATCTACCCATCGCCGACAGGGAAATGCAGCACCTATGGGGAGACGGCCGGGGGCCAGGTAGACCCCGACGCACCAGCCTTTCATCACTAGAGCAGGGCACCTGAGCAGCTACCTGGACGAGAAGAGGACCTGCAGCTACAGTCTTGCAGGTTCAGAGTCCAGGGGTCTGCCAAGGGCCTGCAGTAGACGGCAAAGCGCAGGGGGTAGGGAGAGGACCGCACGGCGAGCCCAGGCCCACACTCAGCTCTGAGGCCAGCCCTCTTGGGGCAGCTGCGCTGGAGAGCAGGCACCCAGTGATTCAGGGCCCCTCCCCCCACTAGGACCCACCAGCCACTGGGAGTACCACTCGGGGGGGGGGGGCAGCCTCTGACACAGGGCCTGTGGGAGTACATTCAGCGTGTAAACCCCAGCAACCACTTAAATTACATCACAAACATGACTCTCCTCTGTGGACACACACCGTGACCTGCTCGCATACTCCGAGCTCCCAAGAC